GTGTCTTCTGCAACTTCTCCCATGCCTTTCATTTTTGGATTTTCATTTTGCTGCTGCAGATACATCAAGGAAACATAGCAGATGTTTCAGATGCATAAGATCCTGTGACAACTCAGATATGGCAACAACTTTAGTGAACAGGCTTAAAATTGAGAGCAACTCAGCCACTTTTTACAAGAACTGTTAATAAATGTTTCACTGTTATACTGAAATTGATTTCCTTGGAACAAAAGAACGTTGCTTCAGGGTTAATAAGAATTGCCCCTGGTAGATCCTGAGATGGCCAGGAGCAACAGATTATCACAGGCAATTGTGTATGAATCTCGATCCCTCTGATAACATAACCTAATTTTCTCCGATAATTTCCAGTTTTCCCTGATCAAAATTTGTAAAAAGACTTTGTAAAAAGGAAGCCCAAACAGCTTCTTTACCTTCTACAAGTTGATGGTGCCAAAGGTTGAAACAGCTTGATGCATTCTGAGTTAGAAACCCACAACACCTCTTTACTGAGGATAACAGTACAGATCTTTCTAAGTCATTAACCACAGCATTTGATTGAAACCCATCAAGTTGTACGATGTTTACTTAGTGTTGAAAGATCCACGTTAAAATAGTGGTGCTTCAAAATAGCTAATTATACATGTGTTTAAAGAATTGAATAACTTCTTTGCTCATATGCAAAATTAATAAAAAATGATTTCCAATTCTTTACATCAACCACAAACAACTGCACTGAACAAATCACACAGCAATAGCACTGGAGTATATATATTTATACTTTAGCACAGGGTTCCCAATAATCCATAAACCTGAGTATTTTTGCATAGAATGCAGATTTCAAAGACACACAAAAAAAAAACCATCTAATGTGTAAATTCACACAGAGAAATTTTGGTTCATGTGTGTGAAAAAAAAAATAAAAAATCATGAATTTAGTGTTCCAACACTGCTGTTGACCTTTATGTAATCAGAAATATAAAACATATTTAAGTTTTGAGGTGAGTGTTATGTACTTGTGAGTGATATGCTTTAGAAATTGGTAGGATCCATAAAAACAGTAGCTGAGCTCATGGTTGTCACATAGATTTGTGTCCGTATAGACGTTAACAATTTCCTACAATTAAAATGTATTTACGATAGATATCTTACCTCTCTCACATAATAGCTTTCCTCGACTTGTGCTGCCCTCTATATGCACAATTTTTGCTCCCACTAGCCTTGAGGTTCCCACCTAACATCCCATGTTTATACGTGGTATAACTGCATTGCAGCTTGCAAATGAGCAATAGGAGTATGACACCCCCCTCCTAGTGCAACTGACTCCCTCTATGCTGTAGAGCACAATCACCACTTCGATATTAGGCAAAAAAAAGATGTACCAGATGTAGGGGGAATGAGTGGAAAGTGTGAAAGGAGGTAAGTATCTATCAGACATACATTTTCAGTGCAGGAAAATACTAGCTTCTGATATCATACCTTTTATCTCCCTTCACATAATAGTTAGAATCCCACAGTGTAAAAAAGTACCTAGATGAACATTTTTTGGAAGACACCTGAAGAGAACCCATGGAGTGAGATACCCCAATCTACAGGGACACACTTGTGGGAGACCGCACCAAATCTGTACCAGATATATATATACTCTTCAGCCATTGTAAAGATGTGTCCCAAATCTGGCAGAAAAGATGCCAGTCCAATCAGTAATAGGATTTACCAGATGGTGCAGAGTGGCTAAGACACATCAGACCTTATCTGGTGAGTCAACTCCAGTTCAAAAGCAGGTGGCATCAGGTATTTTTTGTCCGGTTCAGGAGCTGAAGGGAAAAGCAACTTCCTTTCTGACAATCCAGGCAGAGCAGCACGTGTGCAGACACAGTACACAACCAACACCAGGCCACTCAATATCCAGGTGATATCTAAGGGATCCCAAGAAAATCTTGAATTGGTTTTAATTGTGAATCTTTCCATTTGCTTGCAATACAGCAGAGGTTGTACCAATAGAAAAGTGATGTTATTTTAGGAATGCTGCCACCTAAAGACAAATGGAAAGGAACAACTAAAAGGAATGTGTCTATTACTGTAAAAAAAAACTATGGATGCAAGCAAGATTGCTGGATCCTTTCCTGAAGTCAGCTTACAGTCATGAGTTTGACAACTCAGGAAATATTTACCTTTGTGGAAGAAGTAACAACTAAAACTCTGCATTCAGAATTAGGCCAATATATAATAAAACCTTCTCCAAACAATCTAGTGAGATTTTGGAAGGATATTGCAGCCAAATACTCAGCTTTGTCAGCAGCAACATTAATTCTACTCTGTATTCTGATTGGAAGTGCAACAGTAGAGCACTCCTTCAGTAAAATTATACTATATCCCAAAATCAGATCAAATTAGTGTAGTAAACAGCTTTTTTTAGCTTGTTGTTTTATTAACCAAAAAAAAGACAACACAAACTGGCAGCAAAACCAGATTTTTTTTTTCTGAAGGCTTTTAATTAATTGTACTTAACTTTTTTAAGACTGTGAGAGTGCCCATCTGACAATTCTTGATTGGTGTTTAAAAATGACTATTTTTGTTATTATTAAAGACAAATGCAAATTGATGGCAATAAAAACAAAGATCAGCAGCCTAAACTTTTTTGTAACGTTACTTCTACCATTTTTTTTTTGACAGAGAGAATAACCATCCCCCTCCCTTTTGTTAAATAATTCTTCCAGTTTTTAGAAAGTTATTGAGCACCCCTCCAAAATTCAGAACCCCTATCTATAATTACAGTAAGTATAATGTAATGTATTTGGGATATAATTTGGATTATGTGTTCAAAATAGGTGGAAACCAACTCAACAGTATAACTGAAGAAAAGAATCTTGGTATAGTGCCAGTTAGGTCATTATGGCAGTGCTCTCTTGTTAGTAGTAATGCTAACCGAATTTTAGGGTCTAGTTTTAGACATGTTGACTATGAGGAAAGAATGGAAATTCACTCTACATACAAATCACTAGTTAAACCTCAGTTCTAATAATATGTAAGGTTTCTGTCTCCTTACTCTAAAGAACGATACTCACTGGATAGGATGATTCCAGGGATCAAAGAGCTACCTTATATGGATAAGTTATTTTCTCATGATGGAACAGAAGGGTAAGAGGTGATCTAATTTAACTATAAGATTATCTAGAAGATTTATAGTATAAAAGCCCACAACTTTTTTGTGCTATATCATGAAGGTAATAGAAAGAGAGAATATAAGCTTAAGATTTAGAAACAACAGGATTGGCTCTTCTTAAGAGTGTTTAATTTTTCTAAGATGAATGACTCATTCAAGGAGTTGCCATTGCCAATAGTGGAATAGAAGAATTTAATAGATTTCAGCTATTAATGAGGTCATAATTATGGGCAATTTCAATTTCAGGCATATAGATTGGAAAATATTAGAGTCGAGCCATGAATAAGAAAGGTTTTTGGATACTGTTCTAGATGGTTGTCTTCACCAATTGGTCAAGGAACCTACTACAAACAATGCTATTTTAGATTTATTGATAACTTGTAATATAGAAGTTGTTGAGTGGGTGGAAATTGGGGAACATCTGGGTGCAAGTGATCATTGCTCTATTAGGTTCTATGTTTTGCTGCAAATGGAGATCAGGAATAACAATATTTTGGTTACAAATTTTAAAAACAAATTTTGAAGAATTGCAACAAGAAATATTCGTTGTGAATTGAGCAGCTGAGTTATTTGAAGACACTGATCAAATGTGTAATATTTTTAAAGATAAATTTTTAAATATTCAAGATATACATATTTCTTATAGGAAAAAAAAAGGTAGTTGCAAGTATAAAAACCAGGTTGGCTCACAAAGGGTCTAAGGGATGAAATTAAAGAAAAGCATCATAAATTTAAGAAATTTAAATTGATTGGTATGATGGGCAAGTTAGAAGATTAAAGAAGCTCAAAAAGTTGGTCAAACATGAAATTAGGGCATCAAACAGGTTGGTTGACATTGTAAAAATTAACTGTAAGGATTTCTTTAAATACCTTAAGGGTAAACAAAATGTTAAGATGGAGTGGGGCCTTTAAGGGATGATAAAAGAAGGCTTTGTATCTGATGATTACGAAATGGTTGCGTTATTAAATTTTGCTTTTTCTTCTGCTTTTACTAATGAAGATTTAAGCAATATCCCTCATCTTGAACAGTTGAAAGATGGAAGCAAGATCAAACAAAATAATCACATTAATTCTGAGCTGGTAAAGAAAAAATTGGGAAGTTTAAAGAATGATAAGACTCCTGGGCCAAATAATATTTCCACAAGGGTTTTGAAGAATGTTAATGATTTTATATGTTTAAAATTGTTAAGGGAATTGATAGTGTTAATGCATCATCTTTTTTCATACTTAAAGGTGAGAATGCTACAACTAGGGGAAATAAATATAAACTTTGGCAGAGTAGGAATTATCTTCAGCTAAGACAATTATTTGTCTAACAGGGTGTTTGGCTTATTGGAATGGGTTGCCTTCAGATGTTGCAGAGGCAGTAAATTTAAATGAGTTTAAGAGAAAGCTTGATAAGCGACTTGTATAGAGAAAATAACCTCTTTTAACAGGTAATTATTGTCTATAGCTACACTTTAAAACTCTTGTAGTACTGTATTATGTAAATATACTAACAGTGATACAAGAGTTTTAGGGTGTATCTACAGACAATGTTTGCCTGTCAAAAGAGGTTATTTTATTTTTAGTGGTAGTACTAGTAGTATTAAAAGTTGAGTTCCTATCAATATCGTTAATGTAAATAAGAAAATGCAAATGCCCAAGCACCGACTCCTATTCCTAAGACTGCAGTTTACTAAAAGTAACATTAGTAACAACCTGTTGCTCTCTATGATTCAACCACATTACAAATTATAATACAATTTATAAGCAATCTGCAAGTTCCTTGATACTAAATTAGTATTAGTATTACTCCAGTAAGAACTCATAATAATTTAAATGGCCATATACGTACCTCTTTACTGGCGGAAATACCGGAAACATATACTTTAACAACCATTTTACTTTTACTAACCGTTTACAGCAAATTATAAATCTCAACCGAACCGTATAGAGTAGTTGTGCTATATTTAACAAATCACTGTGTTTGCTCAAATCCAGCTTAGGATGGGCTGCTTACGTCACCGCCTTTTCCACCGATGTCTTTAATAACTTTGAGATACAAGCCCGGCATCTAGTGACATGTCTTGTAACTATTTTTATGTGGAATAAATACCACACGTTATAGTAAGTGTAATGCTTCGTTTCTTTCTTTGTTAGCTCGCAGAACTACACAATTAGCTATCTGTGTTTTGCCCATGGTAAGTATCGAAACTCGATTCTAACACTATAATCCCTCAGAGTTACTGCTGGACCACTGGGATAGCGTTCAAGCATGAGGAAATATTGTTGATGATTTTCTCAGATAACAATTGTATCAAGTCGACATTCCTTTACTACCTAACATTAACCTAGTGATAGAATTTTAAGTATCACTGCAATACAGATGCTATGTATACACAGCTGTTTAAAAAACACGGAAGATGTTGAGCAATCCAAAAAGTTGCTTTAAAGTTATATACAGCGTAAAGTAATATATTTTATTACATTTAATTAGTATCACTATAGTACGATTTATAAAGTTATTTTCTTTTCTTTCTTCTTTTTTTTACTGGCCAGTTTTAATGTCAGAAATGCTATTATTATGTTATAAAACTGATTTTATATTTATAATATAGAGTAGATTATTTGCTTGCTGTTAAGCACAAAACTACTCAATGACTATCTGTGCTCTGCCCACCGCAGGTATCGAAACCCAGTTTTTAACGTTATGGACTCTCAGATTTATCGCTTTGCTACCGGGAAGCTTGTAAAGTAGCAAGACGATCATTCGCAACAACTGATTAGATAAATATGGCTAACTTTTTGAGCAAGTGAATCAAAATTGTCTGAGATGCGTATCTGTGAAAACATTATTTTCCTGCCAAAGTTCAAAGCTATTAGAAACAGATACATCAATGCTAATATATACAAAAAAAGTGAAAATAATGTTTGTTTGTAATTAAGCACAAAGCCACACAATGGGCTATCTGTGCTCTGCCGATCACGGGTATCGAAACCTGGATTCTAGTGTTGTAAGTCCGCAGGCATACCGCTGTACCACTGGATTATCAATATTATCCTAATCTATCCAAATTATAGTAATTCTCAATATACCATAGTCCTCCAATTCAACTTGAGCCCCGAAATCATTGTTGGTGGGGCTTGGGCTATCTTTCAACTATTATTTAACTTATTATAGTCTAAATTTTCCCCACGCTTCTCACCAACTTGTTTATTCCCAGTTTCCAAGCTACCTTACAATTAAGCAACTTTAGTTTAAAATGCCTTTAGAGCTTCCCCGAATACCTTGCTACCTAGCCTGCTTAAATGGAGCCCATCTTCAGCATATAATATACCGTTATCCTGAAAAGTATCCTATATTTCCAAACAGCCCACTTGTTGTTGTAAACATATTGTTGGTAATTTTTCATTTAAAACTTGGATCCTGCTAAGTAATTTATTCTGAACCTAGCTCAATGAAACACTCCCTAAAATGTCACACGTATGTCTCTATCCATAAATGTCTGAAGAAATCCCTTATACTTTTAAAACAACTGTGCTGAGTTGCAGCTTCCAACAGCGTTTGCTCCAATATGCATAAGGAAAAATAACGCTTCTTAGTGCCAACAAATAAACTACCAACACAATATACAATGTGTTCAACTTTAGCACCTAGAAAGCGCATTCTAGTCCTAGTCTTTCTGTGTTTTCCCATTACAAACAAATTGATCAGTACACTTAGTGGAGGAATCCCTAATTACGTAAGCCTCTTCATAATCTCTTTCCTTATTGCAAGCAGCCTTAGAAATTATTTTGGAAAATTGGGTTATGATTTATTAAATATTGACCGATATTTTAAAGGGGAGGATGGATCTTTATATAAGGGAAACTGCATTTTGTGGTTAATGAAAACATGAAGTATGGTAGTGAAGAGACTGAATCTGTATGGGTTATAATCTAGGGTCTTAATGGTGGAAAGGTTTTAAATGCCAGTTATTATACGCCACTTTATGAGACAGATGATGTCAATGAGAAAGTGCATAATAATATCAGGGTTGTTCTAATAATGACACTAATACAATAATTAAGAAGATAATTTAATTTCAGACACAAAAATTGTAAATGTAGTGAAGGAGAACGGTATTTTGAAATTATTCAGGATATTTTTATGTATTCAATGGTAAGAGAGTACAGCAGAGAGGATGCAATTTCATATTTATTGTTAACTCCTAAGGAAGATGTGATTGAAAGAGTTGGGAAAGATTTGTGGAAGAGTGATAATTGCATAATTAGGCTCGATGTTGAAATTAAAAAAAAATTATTTCCTGGTTTTCAAAAACAGTTTTGAGGTCATGAAATAAGATTTATCATTAATCAATTAGTGAATAGCTATGGGTCACATAAACATCCTTGTTTGTATATTTGCATTGATGGGATAATTTACCATTTTTTATTACTTTTAATACTCTGACTGGAACCTCTTAGCCAATCATTAGATGTGTTAGCATTACGAATATGCAGATGAAATTCACGAACAAACAAAAATTAATAGCAAACGTAAATTATAGAAATAACAGCCAGGAAAAACAATTAAGTCTCTGAGCATTAAAATATACAACCAGTAGAGTGGTTAAGAAACTAATTATCAGCAGTGGAGAACCAAGAATTATAAATTAACAATAAGAAATAATTTATTTGAAAACTTGCAAGTCGAAATGAAAATAATAAGAGTTGTTCACTAAATATATCTTATAACTAACTAAGACAGAGTATCTGGGAGATAACTTACGACTCTCTGAACATTCAGGACAAAGAATGGTTAGGTAACTCAGAAACAGAAGTGAACAAGTAGGATGGAGTGTTTAGATAACTTGATATTCCAAATGAAAAAAAAACAGGAGGAAATAATTCAGTATCAGAAATAGGCAGTCAAGTGAGAAGGATTAGATAAATCACAGACGAGGAAGATGGAGCAGTTAGTTAACTCCATATTCCAAATAAATAATCTGTAATGAATGATTAGGTGAACCAGCATCATAAATAGGCAACCAAAATAGAAAAGGTTGGATAAATCACTACCATGAATGAACATTCAATAAGTGTGTTGATGTCAAAACCAACTATATTTATTTGCTTTGAGTTTCTCCTGTTGTTGTTTTCTCCTATTCTGGTGAACTCTTGCTGGCTTCTAAAATATTGTTTGTTGATTTTTGTATAATGAAATTATTTTTCAAGTAAATTATGTTAAGGTGTGGTGTTCACGAATTATCTAATGTGTTGAAGTAAATGTACACTCAAAGATAGTATTGTTACTCCGAAACAGCACGCTGGGTGTGAAAAAATATTTTTATCTTGTCTTCATTATGCAGTCATTATAAAGAATAAAATGTACTTAAATATAATATTTTCTAAGATTATATTTTGCATATACATATATATATAATATATAATATATATATATTATATACGATAGTTTATTTCATCGATCCGAAAGGACTATTCAAACTTAAAAAAAGCTCCTGAGTACAGATACAATTTTTGTAAGTACCATGATTTTGAGGAAAAGAGCACCAATATGAAAATAAACGGTCAAATTGTCAGTGATAATACTTTTAATCAAATTTGACGTATATATAGCTTACTTATGCCACTAATCTACCAATAGACTTAGAATTAAATAAGATTTAAACGATCAAATATTGTAATAACAATTGTTCTAATACCCTTTTACAGGATATCTAATAAGTATTTATTGACTATTTTCAACTAAACATATTGATAGAAAAATGGGGCTGTTGCAAGATCTCTCAGCAAACTCTTTTTGTTTTCCATTTCTGAAGTGGCTGTTCATAGACATTGAAACCAATTTGAATAATAAAACAAAACTGAATCGTATGTTTAGAATTTATACATCTGTAAACTATGTATTAAAGTGCACTTGGTCTTCAGTAGTGGCACTAACACTAACTAGGGTGCTAATTGGACGTCTTTCAAGCACCTTCCGTATTTCGTTGTATTTGACATTTTAAAGAGTAAAACCGAGGAAGCAAGAAAGTGTTATCATAAAAAGACAGTGTTGCATTTAACACGTAATCACGACTAGTAACAGAATTACAAAAAAAATATGATTAAAAATAGAATGATTTTAGAAAAACAATTCACTTGCATATGAGTTGAAAATAATTTTGAAAGAAGTAATTCAGTAGGAAATTGGATATTTAAACACCCCAGTATAGAATTTTAGCTAGACAGACATTATAAAAGCATATACAGATTGTTAGATATGCACGACTGTTTCCATTTAAGTTTAATGCAAGCTTTATGATTTAGGTAGTTTATATAGTTGGAGTGTTAAATTTAGTTATTTTTGGAGGCATAGATTGTCGCAGGTTTGTTTGCGTAACTGTTTGCGAAACATACATCGTGTAATTCAATAATTATGAATTGGTGATTTTTATATTATTGCGCTTTGCTACTAGAACTTTCTAAGTTTTCCCTCGTTGTCTTAATTGAGTATTATTGCATTATAATATCTCGTAGTGTATGGAACGTTCTAGACCGCTGTTGGGATATAAATACGCGTCCAAAATGTAGTTTGTGTTAGTTAGTTAGAGAAATAGATAGATCTAGACTGTGTAGTTGTAAGTTTAGCTATAAAGAGCGTATAGCAGCGGTTTTTAAAGTGAAATTATCACAGACCGTATTGTAATGACAGAGCAGGAAGTATAATTCGTTTTCTTAAGTTGTGTTCTAAGGTAACTGAATTAACCTGTGTAGACTTTGCCGAAAAAGGGACAATTATTTAAAGCTCTTGATACAACTATGATAACCATCAGTGTAACAACATTTGTATATACGTTTGACTTGTTTCTTAATGTATTATTTTAAAGCAAGTGGATTGTGTGCTATTTGTTTATTGTTGAAATTTATCGCCAATAAGTCACAGACATCTACTGTAAAGAATCCAGCCCATATATAAAGCCTGACACAGATCTTTTTACAAACTAGATTTTCTCTTATGAGATTAT